CAGACATATCCCAAGTTCAATCTCATGAACTTTTGAAAATGTCATTCTAGTTATGTATTCTAATGTCTTCTTTTAAATGAATCTATTATCAACTGAGTCATTTATTCTTAGACAAGCAATTAGCATCGCTTCATATTATTAAGCAATAACATTATTTCAATATCATGAAAAGATAGTCTACCGTCGATAAGTATTGTTATTACAAGAAACTATTACAAATTCTACTTTTTTCGTGAAGTAACTGACTTTGACTTATACTGAAAAATGTCACTATCAAAAATACTAATGATAGTATATTTTATATTGCATATACCGTCACTTCATGTATATCATCAAATCAGTAGATAAAATAATACTCTGGAGAAAGTTACCACACAGTTAGTTGTAACCATGTGCTATGTATGAATAAAGATTGTCTTACACCTTCCAACGAGATCCGATTTTTCTAGCAAATTCATCTATACCATTTGCCATTTATAACATCCAGAGATATGTGAAATAAATGAAACGATTGAAGAATTTCTAAGTGAATTTTCTTTCATTGCTTTGAATAATTTTAGTTGAATTCTTAGAATTTTGTAACGATCAAAAAAAAAGTATCCTATAAAAATATTTTTTCTTCAATTGGCATAGAAAACCAAAAGTCAAATGAGAAAATGATTTTATTTAATAGAAAAGATCTTTCAAAGTCTTAAATTCTCTTTTAAATTTTTTTTTAAACTAATTTATAGTAAATACATTCAATTTTCATAAATTTACCCTTATTTGAATAATTTCAATTTTAAAAAAATTGCAAAATAAGATGGATGAATCTTCATGCATGTACGAGAACCATTTTTCTCAATCATTTAGTATATATTTGGATTTTTAATTCTAATAATCTCATGTTTAAAACTATATTATCAAATATCTCGATAGATGGTTTGTCCTTATGGTGCATATTATTTTTTTTTTTGTTGATTACAGGTGAAAACGGTTAGATAGTGAGATATATGGTTATTTGAACTGTCAATAAAAATGCAAGTTATATCAATCAAAAACACAATAGCAATAGCTTGTCAGATAAGAAATGATAAAGAAAACAAACATTATGTGATGATGCAGAACGTTTTGTTTTTCTGTACGTATGGGGTATTGACGACATCAAAGAGCAAAAGAATATTGAACTATTGTTAATTTTAGCCATCGTTTGACACATTCTGAACACTACTCCTTCTTGGTTTTAGGAAAAGAAGTGGTGTGAACTACTCTTTGAGGATAAATAAGTTTCAGCTATGTTTTCTTTTGAACAAATGATTTTCACGACTAAAAAAAGATTTTCAAAAAATAATATTTTCATGAATAGCAAATGCGACAAACAAAAAGACGATCGACAGCACTTTCATCTTAGCTTCTAAAATTCTCACTGGATACCCTTTGATGTTAATGAATGAAGATCATTATAAATCTCTCTAAAATCCCACAATCAATTCAAAGTATAGTTGCTTTCTAGTTGTGATCCATTTCTAATCAAAGGATCATATAAAATCACACGGCTGCAAAACATAGACATAATCTACATAATGCCGAGACAAAGAGCACTGAATTGTGGATAACAACAAGCCACAAAATTTTCTTTCATCCTCAAAGAAAAAAAAACGATGTATCATCACATAAACAGAACGTTGACGAAGCTTTAAAATCTAATGAAAAATACTTAAAATCACAACTCACGAGAGGCAAACTTTGCTAAATCTTTTGTTGAAAGTACAGTAATATGATAGAAATTAGATAATCAGTCATGCAGTTTCAAATTTCATCGATCAATTTATTTTTATTAAACATTTATCTTTATTTTCATAGCACTAACATTTTAGATTTAATTAATTTATACTACATGAGTAGCAGCAAAAACAATAAACATTATTTTATAAGCATATCAGCATCCGTATATGTGATTGTTGGTGCCGATATTTTCTTTGGGAAATGTTTGTTTGATGTACATCGAACTACTTCTGAAGTTCTAATGTACTATAAGCATTCTCGTAACTTGATTAAGCAATGTAATCGTTGAAGTTGATGTTGATTACCAAGACAATACCAAATAACAGATGGAATGGATGCCAATGTCGTCTAACAAGGACAAAAATAGGTACCTTTGCCAATTGTTTTTTTTTCTTTCTTCTTATATTGTATATACATTGGTATGTCATTATATACACAACAGAGTCAACTGCATTTGTATACATATATTATACTTTATTTACATGTTATGTGGTTCAAAATTACCTGTCTTTGTGATAATGAGAGAACACAAACAGCGATGCAAAGAAAAAAAAAATGTCTTATTTAACCTTTTTGAGTTTTAGAGTGTAAGTATGCTAAAATGTATGTTCTTTTGAAAGCGAATTATATTCTGTAGCTGATCAACTTCACAAATGGTCACCCACTCTATTTGCGCAGTGTCAGCCTCGTTATTATAATACACAATAATGTCACAGGCGATGATTATACGTGTGATATTGTATTTGTGAATAGCTTCGACAATCAAGCAAGAAATTTGATTAAGATTGACATCTCTGTTGAGAGCTGCATCCTCATCGGTTATTCGTCACAGAATGAGTGACCATTTGTGAAGCTGATCAACTTCAAAATATAATTCGCTTTCAAAAGAACACACATTTAAACATACTTATACTCTAAAACTTAAAAAGGTTAAATAGGATATTTTTTTCTTTGTATTACTGTTTTGTTCTCTCAATATCTCGACAAGATAGGTTATTTTGAAATAAATACAAAACAAAATAAAATATGTTTATGCAAATATAGTCAACTCAGTTATCTATACAATGACATATAAATTTATATATAATTCTGCAAGAAGAAGAGATAAACAAATAGTTGACAAAGGAATTTATTTTTGTTCATGGGAGAGTGTAGGTTGTATAGAATGTGTTAAAGACGTTGATGTAAACTCATACATCAATTGTACCGTTCTTGCTAATCTGGTTTTTTAGGCTGATACTCAGTAATTTATATATATATATAGATTTAGAGCATACTAAAAGTAGTGATAGTGACACCTAAATACTGTATAGCAAGCTTTAATAAACTTTCTTTCTCTTTAATCTGATAGAGAAAGGAATGCTCGTTTTTTCTATGCTATTTGATCATACTTCAGTTAATATCATAATAATAAACTCGACAAGATTTGTTTCACTATGATTATGCCCCGTTATACTATTGTCTGTGATATTTTTTGAATAATTTTTGATAGAAACAAGGTCGAGATGTTCAGTTTTTATCATTCGAACAAGGAGATAAAATGTATCGAATCATGTATTATGCGTTTTTCTAGTATATGGTCTCATGTTTGTTTAATCAGTTTTCTAAATATAGGAACAATGGTTTCTTATCAAAAAGGAAACAGCTCAAAAAATTCTTTTATAGGAATCGCCACAAAAATTACTTAAAACCTTGACTAGGGTGCCTATTGATTCTGAATGGTTAATTCTAAACCTCGTGCAGTCTTGTAGTTCTTCTATCGGCGGTTTCAATACAGACCTGACATTTGAGAATTCACTGTAAACATCTCACAAGTAGGTTTGTTTTCAAAGAGATTGATTCAAAAACCTTTAAAAAAATCATGTCAACAAAAATCTGTAATATATGTCTCGATGCATCTTCATCTCTTCTTTCGAGCAATGAAAACTGCAGCTCTCTATCCTGTTTCTATCAAAACTTATTCAAAAAATATCCACTAAATAGGCACTAGTACTACTAGGCACATATCATAGCGAAACAAATCTTATCGAGAGTTTATTATTATGATATTAGTTGAAGTATGACCAAATAGCATAGAAATATAGAGCATTCTTTTCTCTATCAGAATATATAGAAAGAAAGTTCGTTAAAGCTTATTATACGGTATTGAAGCATTAGTGCCACTACTTTTGATATGCCCTAAGAAGTTTAACTTATCTCGATGATATTCTAGCTCGACTGAACGAAATAATGGGTGTAGGTGGTTGTGGATGTCGCTGTGCATTTTGTTTACACCCACACCCTGGATGAGGAAATTCATTTTTATCTGATATACTTTTTCAGTAAGAATAAATTTCTTGACTTGACCCTACCTAAAACTATAGCTATCTTTTCTAGATTCTTTTAATATTAAAATCAATCTTCTACACTTATGTCTCAAAGTATTGAATTAAATTTTCATAAACTTGTTTCTATAGCCGTTTCTTGGAATTTCCTAAAAATACCAACCTTTCGTCTCATCCAAAAAGCAAATCTGTCCTTAATTTACTGTTGCACATCCTTCGTTATCAGAGTCCATAACATGTAGTCAAAATATTAGTAATTAGCATGCTCTGATATAATGAGTGCATGTCGTTGCGCTTACTTGACTTTATTCAGTTCTCCGAATTTGGACTAGAGATAGCTACAGCAGTGGCCTTTCGAATGAAGGATTTAACGAGTATATATTTATGCCAACATGGTTGACATAAAGTAATCACAAGAGGCAGATGATGTCTGAACCATAACTCTAGTACCTTGTGAACCGATGGAAAAAGACTTAATGCTTACGATGAGAGTTTATTGTCGCACGCATACACGAAAAATATCATCTGAATATCATAAAGAATGGTAGCTCTTATTGGAGGATATTTTTGTCCAGAACTATATGTTGTATTCTTATGTATAAAGCGAAAGAAGAGACAAAGAAACCTTGATTTACCCATTATTCAAGTGATGCAATGTAGATTATACTTTCTTGCTAAATATCAATTATTGAAAAACAAAGGGAAAAAATAAAAATGATGCGCATTGTATTTTAAATAAAATCAGTTCGCATTTTACTTATCAATAACGTATCGTTTCTCTATATCGAATTGATCACTTCTCAACAAAAAATCGTTTTCTTTTTTATTAAATAATCATCATATTAAAAAAAAATTGCACACTAGAACAAAAAAAAATCATTGCCAGAATTAAATTTCGTTTCGGTTTTTTTCTTATTCATCAGCTCGAGTTCCACGATTAAAAATTTTAAATACATTTTTTAATGGATTATCATCATAATCTTGTATTTTTTCTTTTGCTTGACGAATTTTTGTTAAATTTGCTTCGCTAAGTTGACATTTTGCTTCTATAAAATGTAAAGCTTCAATTGACTTTAATTTTATTGCTGAATTAATTGCTTCATCAGCCATTCTTTAAAGAAGAAAAAGAAAAACAAGTCAACGACTGAATTTAAATCGAAACAAAAACACATACAGAACTTTAGCGAACATAAATGGAAGACGTTCATCATCAATTTTTGATGAATAAATAGATCGATCAACAAAACGACGAGCTTCATCATTTTTATGAGATCGAATACATACATCAACAAATGGCTATAAATATAAATATATATTTCGATGTTTTTTTTGTTTTTTGTATAAATGAATATTATTTTACTTCATATCCAATAGGTGATGTTGGTTTTTTTCCAAATTCAAGTAGCTGTGTCCAAGCATTTTTTTTAGCATATGCTTGAATTTTAATCCACCAATATCTTTTATCACTAATAGTAAAATCTTTTCTTAATATATCTGCATCTTTTTCAAAATTAATTAATAATGTTTCAAGTGTATCAACCAATGATAAGCCTTTTAATTGTACATTGTATAATTTTTTTTCAAGTTCATCTTGTTTAGCTATTAAACGAGCTTCATCATCAACTAACTGTTGTTATTTAAAAAGAAAATAAATGAAAAAAATTTTTTTTCGTTCTAGAAATTTCATTTACTTGAGCAACTGTTTCATTTTTAGCTTCACGGAATAATTTTGATGCACTTGTCAATTCAGTTTTTTGATCCGGTGTCGTCTATGGGAAAAAAAAAGAATTGAATTTTTACGGGACCTTGACGGATATAATGATCTATCTGGAACAAGGATACCATATATGTGGTTTTGCAGAGCGATTTACGGCGCATCGAATGTTATATAAGAAATTTGAAGTTTTCACCAGTTGCAAGTC